AACCCTGAACCCTAAACCCTTGAGCGGGGCTGTGGATGGGGGTGTGCCAACTTTGGGCTCCGACAAGACATAAACGAACTAGCCGAGAGCAAGCTTTCTGCAAACAGCAACGTCTCTGTTACTCTCTCATGACATGGAAAAGCCTCGTGGCTTTGGGGCTTGGTTCAGTCCGTTTTAGAAGGCGATGGAAAGCCTAGAAACGTTGAACATGGCATGTCAAGACCCTAGACTCGAAAGGGCTACAGAGGGTGGGCTATAGGTAGGTGGGGGAATCCGACGTAAGCGAGCTTGAAGCCTCTCGCGCATCAGGCCCGAAACCCTACATACAACCCGCCAGGAGCAGCCAATACATGCGGAAAGAACTCAACCCTAGCCCCGCAAGCCTGAAGTAAAGCCAACACCCTAAGCTTGAAGCCCCCCCAAAAAATGCCCCAAGGTACTTCGGCGTGCTCTTTATCCTCGTTGGTTGCCTCATCCTCTGGCGGGCGCTGGCCTTTGAGCCAGGGCTTTGAGGGTTTGTTGTTAGCAGTTTTGGGCTTGGGGGGATTTGGGGATTCGGACCCTGAAGAAAGTTAAGAGGTTTTGGGAATGGATGGAGCGTTCTTGTCGAGAAGCGTTGTTGATAAGACTCGGTGGTTAGCAGAAGGTTTGCATGGAATTGTCTGCGCTTTTTCTTGGTGGTTCTGTTTGTTTTTCTCAAAGCTCTTCGATGGTGCAGGGTTCACGGGCGTATTCATGGATATCAGGTGTACGGTCGCTGGCGCCTGGGTGCTGTGCAGTTGAGGTGCTTGGGCTACTGTTTCAAACTGATTTGCGGCTTTGTTCTGTTTCAGGAGTTTATTGTAAGCCTTGGGCCTCAAATCCGAAACACTGAACGTTAGGCTGGTTTATGGCGTCGAGGTTCGCCGGACAAGTGCCCACACCCTGCTCATCATGCTCATCCAGAAATGAACCAAAAGGGGACATCCTGTGCAAAAGCCTTGGAAGATTCTTTGGCTATCTCCCAAGGTTCTGTCTCACGAGTCGGAGAACCCGCTGCAGATGAAGCGGCTCCACCTAAGGAGCCTGGGTGCAGGGCTCTTTGGGAGCTTCGGGTCAAAGGACAAAGGGGATAGACAAAACAACCTAAACGGGCTTAGGGATAACATTCGTTTTCCGACGCATGTTCTAAGGGCTTTAGGAGGGACCCCTAATAGGGACCATTAATCCCATTACCTTAAATAACCATTGTATAGTCCGTTTATACCCTTATAAAGCCAGGTAGTCTCCATATCAACCCCAATAACCTACAAGGGTCCCTATTAAGGGTCCCTCCTAAAGCCGTTAGACATGTGTTTGCCGTGGCTTTGGGTTGCGGGCTCCTGCATTTGGGCGGCTTTTTCGCGGGTTCAGAAACTGGAGGGCTCAGATGCCCCTAGGTGTCGCTTGCCCGCATAACAAAGCGAGCCCGAAGCATTTGGAACTTTGAGTCGGAAACTCTGACATAATACAATACAAGCAAAATAAAATAGTCTAGCATAATTTAGTACAACATAGCCTAAATGATGGTAGCTTTATATCGTATAGTTGACACCCTGAACCCAAGGCCATAAGCCCAAGTCCTGGGCCCCAAAAGCTGTTAGCCGACTCTGATGCTGCTGCTGCTGCTGCCCGATGATGACGATGATGATGGTGAAGATGATAATGATCGAGGACCAGCATGCACGACGCATTCAACCGTGAAGCCTCGGAACTCAGAGAATCACATCCTGAGCCCCTTTGATCCCAAACACCTGCACTTTTGAACCCGGTGCAGACCCTTATATTCTAAACCTCAAGCCCTGAAACTCTGAAAGCCGTTTCGTGTGAGTTCCTGGAACGAATTTTCAACCTCCTTCATGCATTTTGGTGCTGTTTCCCTGGCTGCAATCTAGAGTGCCACACGGTGCGGACCTCCTAATTGAGGCGAAACTTGATCCTCTCAGCTCTGGCAGAAGAGAACCGTTGGAGATCACGTGGTTGCAGAATCTAGGTTCCGGGCTTGGAATGAAAGAAGCCGAAAGGCCACTCGCTTTTTGTCCGCTTCCAGCGTTCCATGGTTGCGGCTGGAATCCAACGTCATCAGCCACCACCACTCACAATGGGTTTCAAAAGGCAGTGTAGATTCTCTGTGATATTCTATATATAACATATAACATCTATATATATATATATATATTACTTTATATATTTTACATAGATGGAGTTGAGCTCCGAAGATGTGCGAAACTTGCTCCAAGTTGGCAGGCTGCCTTAAGGCTTCAACGAAGGGCTTCTTCGTTTTTTTTCTCTTGCGTTTTGCCATTGCTTTGCTATCGCCGGTCCTCGCTCGTGAAACTACTTCTCAAATAAGATGAAAATACCGCCACTTTTGCACAACGGATCTTGAAACGTACCTCCGTAGCCCGAAAACCCAAAGACACTGAGTATTGAACGCAAGTCTGAAGCATTAAATCCTGAACATCAGGCCTGAACGCCCTAAAGTCCACGATGAATCCCGGATTCCTGCCAGCATCTTTGCCGGCACGATCATCCTCAGTGGCGCGCCGGGGCGCCCTGCTTTCTTTTGGGGTTCCGGCCAGCACGTCCTGAGAGGGTTGCGGATTCCTAAGCCCCAGAATCTCGGATAACTCAAAGCCCTCGAACTCGAACTACTTCAGGAATACTCGGCAAATGAGAGCTTTTGTCAGCTCCCAGATGAGTTTCCAGGTTTCCGGTTCAGGGTCGCGGTTTCGGGATTTGGCATGGGAGGACTGCCCGGGCAAGTTATTTTCGATCGTTGGGCTCCGATCCCTAAACCCTAAACCCTAAACCCTAAACCCTAAACCCTAAACCCTAAACCGAGGCTTTTTCAACTCAAGGCGGGGCTCAGGTGCAGATCGTCTGTCGCAACACCGGACCAGCCAGCTGGTCAGAAACAGTACGGGCAACCTCAACCAAAAATCTTGTGCACCACACCGTGAAGCAACACACTTTCCACCGTCATTACGTGTCCCTAGTCTGTTTCATTGGTCCCGGGAAGTCCTCATCGAATCTCGATCTTCGACGACTTGGGGAAGTGATTTAGCGAATCAGTACAGAACACAGAAGGCCTGAACGGCCAGGATTCACCGTCTACATGGGTTGCTCAAAATTTGCTCGTCTCTTAAGGTACTTGTTTGAATAGTGGTGTTGTTATCGTAAAAAGGGAGTACGAAGGACCAACATAGAACAACCCGTCCATTCCTCTAAACCAGGACAGCCTCCAAACCCCCTGCAACTTAAACCCTAAACCAGAAGACCCCCGGACATCTCAAGCTCAGGCTTTGCTTTCTGCTGGATCGGAAAATTTTCGTCGGTCTGGCCCCTTGGATGAAGGCGGGATGCCTGCAGAGAGGGGCTGTGGGTTCGGGATCCAAGGACAAGCAAACCCGAACTTTCGGGTTTAGGTTGAAGGTATCCACTTGGTTGGGCAGCCAAGCTAAGCGTCTGAAGGGCTTAGAGTTGACGAGTTAGTGTCTCGAAGGCTTGAGGGTTTCAGGCTTCAGGCTGCAAGGGGACCTTCTTGCTGTAGTGTTGAGAGAGAGCTCGGCAGATTACATATCTTGCGGCTAAGGGTTCTACGGCCCGGGACACCTCCTTCAGAGCTCCCGGCAGCATAGAAGATGCGGGAATGGGGAGCCTTGGTTCCCTGTAGCCGCATGCCAGCTTATCTATTGGGTTTTTTCAGCTCGGCGATTCTCGGCTCCCTGTACGTCCAAGGGTTTTAGCGCGTTTGAACAGCAACAAAAACTCTGCCACTGCTGCTGCTAAGGGCAAAAAACAGTGGGCAGGAACAAAGATAAGAAGGAACGCCAGACATCAAAGAGCGAGGAACAAAGAGCGCAAACGTAAAGACATGGCAGTTGCAATGCTAGTACCAACCATTGTAATGGTAATGGTGCTGGTACCGGTAGTGGTACCGGTAGTGTTCATAGCCATGGCCATGGTCATAGCCAGACTAGAGTAAGATCAATGATGAAGTGGTCATGGTCATAGTCAGAGTCAAAGTAAGACAAAAGTAATGTTACTGGCCAGGGTAATGGGAAGTGGTAATACGTAGTGCTGACCTGGCGATAATCATGCTAGTGCAGTCATTGTGGTTGCGGTATCATATTTTCTGTTGTGTTGTTTGTACTATCTTGAGAGCCTGAGCCCTCAAACCTGAGTCTCCTTGAAGCCTCCGCCAGGTGCCTTTATACATGACGCTGGGGTTGGCAGTCGCCTTTGCGCTGACCTTCTCGATCGTCGATGCCCGGGCCGTGGAGAAGCCCTGCTTCGAGAAAGATGTTTCAGGGTTCTCTACACTTTACCGCTGAGGCTTGGCAACGGTTGGCAGGTTAAGGGGTTGGCGATGCTGGCCTGGAGGGTTCAGAATGCCAAGCTGTTGCATGACGCACTCAATGGTGAGTTGTTCTGGACCCTTGGCAGAGAGGGCATTGGGCTTCGGATAGGAATCCCAATCTTACGTCCTAAGCATGCCATGTCCTCTTCTATTATATTGTCGGGCCTGACCTTAAATCCCGTTTCTTGGTTGGCCAGCAGTACTGGTCTCAGTCTTCGGCAATGCTCACGCTTCCAGCCGTGAGCTTCTCGAGCTTGGCATTTCGACTGGGGTTTTGGTGCATTGAGGCAAGCAGTAACTTTCCAGTGCTGGTGCTTCTTCTGCATAACTTCTGCGCATGACGTGTAAGTTGCGGAGCTTTGTGTTGCATTTCTGCTGTTCCGCGATGTGTTCTACGGCATCGGGGCAGCGGAGCGTCCCAGGTGCTGAATTACATTATTGGCTTCTTTCAGAATTCCGTGGCAAAGTCAGGGCCCCAGCGCGTTTTTGGAATCTGCGAATCTACGTTGTACGTCTTTCTGCAACACAAAATCAGTAAGTATATATATATATATGTAAAGGATACACAGACATACATACATACATATATACATATGTATGTATGTGTATGTATGTATGTATGTATGTATGTGTATATATATATATATATATTCAGTCCCTCATGAAATTATAGCAGTGTTGTATGGACAGGGGCCCATGCATAAGCAGCTCGACAGGCGGTACCGCGCAGCGCAGCCTGTACCTGTACATCAGCATTGCTTATCTTGCGCAGCTTGTTTCGTCAAAATAGTTTCGCACCATGTTGGGCAACTCCAGTTGTACTGCATCAGGTCCTTGTGTGTTATGCAGCGTGCTGCCGCGTACCATCTCAGAACATATCATGCTGAGTGAGGTTATCGTCTATGATGATATATTCCATGTTATGCTGTGTTACGTTGTGTTTCCGAGCTGATATGTCACATTCTTCCAGGCTTCTATCTGGGGGTGCTGCTGTGGTTTATTTGGTTCTACGTGATGTTCATGTCTTTATATCCTTTGTATGTGAGTTGTTAGCTGTCGCCAGCTGTGATGTGCACGTGATGTCTCCCGTATTATATGGCTGGCTTGTTTGGACCAAGCCTAATCAGTCTCGCAGCCGAAGCCTAAGCCCCAAATCCTAAATCTTGAACTCCTCACGGCTTCGCGTGCAGGGATTATTTTGCAACTGTTCATCTTTCGGGGTGTTCTATTGCTTTTGACCCTAAGCCCTACACCCTAAACCCTCTGCTTGAGTGTTTAGGCCAGGCTTCCTGAGGCCCCACAAGACCCCGCCCAAGGCCCGTGGTCGAGAGCTCGCAGCAGGCCACCGGGACCGGGATGCTAATGTTAGAGCCTTAGTAATTACCTATACTTTTTTTTGGGGGGGGGTTCTTATTATGATTATCGTGTAATGGGCCCCAAAACCCTANNTTCTAATTATTAACGCCCCTATACTACCAAGGTTTTTATCTGGGTTCTGCAAGGTTCTGAAAGGTGTCGAGAAGGGTTGCCCAAACGCTCCTTCAGGGGTCTACCTGGGTTCTGTAAGGGCTCTACAAGCGGTTCGAACGGTACAGGGACGCGCGGAGTTGTTTCAACTGTTTTAGGGTTTGCCAGGGTTTTGGCAAAGTCTTATACTCGTGCAGGCGTTGCCAAGGGCTTTAGAATCTTAGAAGTTTGAAGGGTGTTGCTGGGGTTTTGAGAATTCCGTGAACAGAGGTTTATGCTGCTGCGATTACTGCTGCTCGTGCCACTACTACTACTACTACTACT